AAAAAAAAAACTTCTTTTATATGATTTGAGACTCAGAGGATATTTTCAAAGTTTTATGTCACTTCTTCAAAAAGAGAGTCTTACGCTGTTCATCTTTACACTGTTCACCATCTTTAGAAGTTAACCTTTCAGCTCTTTACTTCCTATGACTCAGATTTTTAAGCAATTCACCCGAAGATTTTCAAGTCATTGGTTTCACAATGGGAGTGATGTAAGACTAAAAATTAGATTTTTGTGTCAGTTTAGTGTTTTGACCACAAAAGCTACAATACTTTTTAGAAAAGTATACTATCTTTGTTTTTTTGCACAAAAGTAATTCTTAAAGATAAATATATACCAAGGTAGCAAAGGAACTCTGATTGCACAGTAGGTAAGGCATTTGGCTGTTAACCAAAAGGTTGGTGGTTTGAACCCACCAGCCACTCCACAGGAGAAAAGATGAGCCAGTCTGCTTCGTAAAGATTTAAAGCCTTGGAGAAATACTGTGGGGCAGTTCTACACTGTCCTATGGACTCGCCATGACTCACTCTGAGTTGGAATCTGCTCAGTGGCAGTGGGTTAAAAGTAGCAAAGGACCCCATGCTTTGTTTAACTAATTTAGTTCAGCAGTATCTATTCACCACTTTTGTGTTCAACTTAAGGAACTGTGGTGGTGCAGTGGTTAAGGTGTTTGGCTGCTAATCGAAAGGTTGCCAGTTCTAAACCACCAGTTGCTCCATGGATGCTGTAAAGATTCACAGCCTTGGAAACCCTACAGGGGCTGCCAGAAGTCAGAATTGAATTGATGGCAATGATTTTAGTGTTTGTTTATTTGTTTTTTTGTTGTTGTCCAATTTGGGGAAGGGATCAAGGAAACAAAACTCCTCTTAGCTACCTGCTCAGATAAGTAGAAGAGATTAAATAACTTGATAATGTCACAGGTGATTAGCATAAGCAATGCCAGTTAACTCTATTTTGACAGTGACCTTATAGGGGCCCTATAAGTAGAAGGCACCTGACTGCTAACCAGAAGGCTGGCGGTTCAAACCCATCAGCCACTCCTCGGAAGGAAGATGGCGCAATCTACTTCCGTAGTGATACTGCCTTGGAAACCCAAAGAGGGGTTGCTATGAGTCGGGTCCGACTCGACGGCACATAACAACAACAACAACATAAGAAGAACTAGGAGCTCTGGCAGCCTAGCGCCTAAGGCACTTGACTGCTAACCGGAAGGCTGGCAGTTCAAACCCACCAGCCACACCTTGGAAGGAAGATTGGGGCAACCTATTTCCATAGTGATACCACCTCAGAAACCCAAGGCAGGGGCACTATGAGTCGGATCTGACTCCATGGCAGTGAGTTTGTTTTCTTTCTTTTTTTTTTTATTAAGTAGAACTGAGCCCATAGGATTTCCAAGGCTGTAAATCTTTATGGCACCCGTAGAGCAGCTGCTGAGTTCGAATTGCCAACCTTCTAGTTAGCAGCCTCTCTTATCCACTGCATGACCAGGGCTTCTGATGATTAACGTTGGGTTAAGGAATTTACACAAACCAGGTTATTAGGAGGGACAAGGCTTTGATTGGTCTTGGAGCAGGGAAGCTTTTGGTTTGGCTTGGAAGAAAGAAGAGGTAAAAAAGAAAGAAAAGATCTTCCCTGTTTTCCCCCATTCCCATTCATTTTCTGCTTTCTGCCTTGTTTTTTAAAAAGAGTCACAAATCCCTAATTTTTGAAAATCATGTTATTTATGTTTCCTTCTCAATTAAAGAAAGAATGACTACTTTTTTAGACTTCATTGATAAACAGATTGCTTTTCTATCTCTTAAAGTTGCATTTGATTTCTTGCCCAGGCTTTCTCTGATCATATCCTCCTCAGATGTTTCACTTTCTTTGCATTCTAGGATTATTTAGGCAACAAGACTTGGTGGCATTCAGATCCTAATTTAACCAACTAGGCATTCTTTTGACATTTTCCAGATTTTTTTTTTCAGTTATTTCTTAGTTCAATTTTATTTTATAAAGTTTAAAGGATAACAGGTTGTCTTGGATGTATATTTTCCCTTGTATATATTGAAATCTGCTTTCTTAAAGTTCATTTCTCTATATTTTAAAATGCTTTTTCTCTAATCTGTCTATCACCTCCATAGATACCATCCTGTTTCTAAATAACCATATTGAGACTTGCATCCCACTTTTCCAGCATTCTGTTTGTATGGTTAAAGCCTATCGGTTCTTCTTAATTTATGTTATTCTAGTTAAACCATGGATATAATTATCGATAATGACCTTCAATTCCTCTTCTTCCTTATTCTCTCTAGTATATTAATGATATAGTTTTATGGCTTAGTAAATTAGTGGTAATGCTCAGGCTGTGTTAGATTTGGCGTTTTTCCTCCTTGCTCTATATGATATGATATCCTGTATGTCCCTTGGCATTTGACTGCTAACCATAAGGCTGGTGGTTCAAACCCACCAGCCACTCCTTGGAAGGAAGATTGGGCAATCTACTTCCATAGAGATACTGCCTCGGAAACCCAGGGAGGGGTTGTTATGAGTCGAATCAATTCGACAGCAGTGAGTTTGTTTTTTGTTTGTATGTAAATAATTATAATGAGATATATTTTTGAGCCTTCAACAGACCGTTCTAATTAAAATTTACCTCAGTAGATTATGTAGTCTCTCCTTGTGAAAGAAAAAGCCTGCTTCCCTTTAATCCCCATATTAACCTGGATAAGCATCCCAGGTGGGGATGCTTCTATGTAGGCACTCACAGAGAAGGATTTATCTTTCCTTCCAGATGCCCACTTTTCCCCAGTGAGCTTGTACTAGTGTCTGTGATTCTTATGTGATTAAAATCTAGTTCTGCCCTTTTACAACTCTTTAGATAAGTAGCAGAGCAGAGCAAGAAAACACAACAGAGTGTGTGTTAGAATTTTCTTTCCTCCTTATGCACATTTTGATCTTCAAGTAAAATTCATGAATGGCTGATGTGTCTCAAGTAAAGGAAAGGACTATGTTTGAGGTTGCTGTACTACTGCTGATGACATTATGAGTAAAGAGAAAGGGAGCAATGCTTACACTCTGTATTGGAAATCTCCTGCTATCACCAAACATGACAGCTATTATGTCATTAAAACTCAGCATTCCTTTCACATTCTGACTGATAATTTCTTTCCTTCTCTCAACCAGTTAGAACTGAAACCTCAAGGCCGAATGCTAATGAACGCAAGATACTTTCTGGAAATGAGTGGCAAGTGACATTTCTTCTTCCTGTTTGGGGGTGAAGAGGGCATATCCCTTCTCAACATGTGTAATTTATTTGACTTTTGCAATATCATAGAAGAGAATTATGGGAAAATAGAAGCACAAGGAATTTTCTTAAAATTACCAGTGGTACTCAAGGCATGAATTGAAAATACACTATCTGGGCTAGATAAACAGAGAATTATAAAACATGTTATCATTATTTTTTAAATTGTATGAATCTACATATTCAGTGCTTTTATAGTCCGTCTTTAGTTTATAAATTTAATGTAACTAGAGAAGGCCCTCTTTACCTTTAGCTATGTGTATATACATTGTATATGTATAGATCATATGATAGAACAAGCTATCATACTTACAGTAGATGAAAAAAATATATAAGAAATGAGACGAAACACTAGTATTTTTCATAAAACTACTGGCAAAAGGGAGAATGCTAAAGTTAGGCACCTCAAATCCTTTTAGGAATAAGGAAGGATATGCCGGTGGGGGGATGCATTGCTAGAGTTTTGGTTCCCTGTCACTTAGTGCCTGTAACAGCTTGTCAGTCCTTGTGTTGTGCTGAGAGCGAGCGAGCGGGTGGGGAAGATGTTGGAGTGCTGTTTAAACGAATCAAATGTTCTATGCATGAAATCCTAAATCTGAGAATGGATGTATGAACTTACCAATGGTAAGTTGATTTAGTTTTTTTCCAGATAAGTATTATTAGCAAGAAGAAGCAAATTTTAGTTTAAAGATTTCTTGTGCTTTCTGCCCCACCCCCTTTAAAACATACAATTCCTTTGAATCCTAAATGAAACAAATGCATTGAAAATAATGATAATATATGATACTCTGGGAAAATTTAACACTCAGTAGGTATTTGATGATATCAAGGAAATGCTATTAAAATTTTGGTGTGATAATTATATCGTGGTTATCTTTTTAAAAAGGAGTCCTAATCTTTGTATAGATGTGTGCTAAAAGATTTATAGATAAAATAATATGATATTGAAGATTTGCTTCAAACGACCTATCAGCAGGTTATAGGGGAGTGGGTTGAGGTGCATTGGAAAAGAGTGGCTATGAATTGATAATTGTTGAAGCTGAATGACTGGTATTAGGGAATTGATTACAGTATTTTCTCCACTTTCGTATTTATTTGAAATTTTCCATAATAAGGTTGTTTAAAAAAAAGAAAAAGAAAGAAAAGAAAACTGCCCAATCAGGGGGAATATATCTTGGACCTTTCCTTCTTTGTTGTCTTAGAGACTCTAGAAACATAGTTCATATAACTGTACCATTTTTGAGCTAGGTAAATGAGGTAGAGTGGTTGCAGGATGTCTAAATAATCAGGTTTACATAAAAAGTAAAAGTGCTGGCCTAAAGGATAATACCAAAAATGTTTAATTCCTTAAGTGGGAAAAGGATAGCTCCCCATTAGTTCAAAAACTGGCCCAATGGAAATTGAAAAAATAACTCTCCATGAGAATGCACATAATTTTGGTAAAGATCCTTGCTTTGAAAAACAATTAAATGATTATGTAAGCCCAGGATTTTGTTTTCCTTTTTTTTTTTTTAACTTTTTATTGTGATTTGGGTGAAAGTTTACAGTGCAAATTGGTTTCCATTCAACAATTAATACACATTTTTTTTGTGAAATTGATTGCACTCCCCACAATGTAACATCACTCTTCCCACTTCCTCCCTGCGTTTCCCATTTCCCTTTGTCTTTCTTTCCTATCCCTTCCTGCCTTCTGAGCTTTATCTGTAGGCACATGCTGCCCTTTTGATCTTGTGTAGTTGAATGTTCTAAGGCCAGGATATTTTTTAAGAATAAAACTTTGTAATTTTTAAAATTCTTTTTATCTAGATCCAAATTGAGACTCTATCTCTAAATATTTGTATGTTTTTTAAAACCCTAGTTTTCAACAACCAATATTATAGAATAAGTAGAAAATTCCTTATTCATGACAAGAAGAAAGATGTAAGATGTCATTCAATGTTAAGTATGTTTATTATTGTATATAGGCAATAGTTTTCTGAAGGATTCAGAAAAGCAAAACTTGCCTTCTTACATGGAGGGATTAAGAGAGGTAGTACAGATTAAACAACCAGAGATTAATTAAATCCTAAACCACATAAATAGTGATTAACCAAGAACTTACTATGGTTGTATTTATTCCAGAAAATTCCACAGTGTGGGCACTAAAGGATAGGTGGTTGTTGTTCTTAGATACCATTGAGTTGCCCCAGACTCAGTGACCTTGTGTACAACAGAACGAAACACTGTCCAGTTGTGCGCTATCCTCATAATCCTTGTTGTAATTGAGCCCATCATTGAGTCACTGTGTCAATCCATCTTGTTGAGGGTCTTTCCCCTTTTAGCTGACCCTCTACTTTAACAAGCATGATACCCTTCTCCAGGGAATAGTCTCTTCTGACAACATGACCAAAGTAGGTGAGACAAAGTCTGGCTGTTCTTACTTCTCAGGAATATTCCTGCTGCACTTCTTCCAGAATAGATTTGTTTGTTCTTCTGGCAATCCATGGTATTTTTGGTATTCTTCTCCAACACCATAATTCAAAGGCATCAACTCTTCTTTGGTCTTCCTTATTCATTGTCCAGCTTTCACATGCATATGAGGCATATGAATATACCATGGTGTGGGTTAGGCATACCTTAGTCTTCAAAGGATAGGTAGAATTGAGATTTTTTCAGAGAGGAAGAAGGATAGCCTTCTAGAAGGAAAAAAAAAAAAAAATGTAGATGAGCAAAAATATTATATGGATGAAGACTATCAGGAGACCAAGCTAGATAGATCAGTGAGTCCCTGCTGAAATCAGGATGAAGAGATAGATCAGATCAGGGAAAGCTTGAAAGCCAGGCAAGAAGAGTATGTAGACTTGAGGAAGTCACCAAGAAAAAGTCACTGTCATGTTCTTTAGCGGACATGACACACCGAAAGCAGTGTTTTAGGGAAATTGCCCATCATGAAATGTAGGACAGATTTGGGAACGGAAACAATGGATAGAGAAATCCTATAAAACTTCCATTATGCAGTGGAGAAGTGATGAGACTCTGGAGCTGGAGTGTGGTAATAGGAATGAAATAAAAGGAAGAGTCTGAAAGAAAGTAAACAACATTTCATTGTCATGGAGATGAAAGATGTCTATTATAAGCACACATCAAGGTACTTTATAATTCTTTAAAAATGAATGTTGAATGAAGGAAAATCTTTTGACAGTGTGTCTTAAGATAGGCAGACTGGGAAAATGATAATAGTAGTGGTAGAAAGGGGGACATGGTGGGTGGGGGTGGGACAGATAAGGAATTCAATCTTGGCTGACATTTAAGTAATACCATGTCTCCTATATCCTTCTTCAATGGAGGCCTCAACTCCTGATTATCCAACAAGAAAGTATGTTGTTCATTGCTCTCCAAATTCCAGTCACTCTATTCTTTCTCTTTTAAAATTCCTCTCCTCGATTTCTCTTCTGTAATCATATTTTCATCCTTTTTTCTCATGCAATCACTCTTGTTGGCTCCAGATTTCACAGTGTCCATCTGATACCTCAACTTCATATTTTCACACCTTTCTACACTTTATCTTTATCCACAGGTCATCACTTGCAATTCTCTACTTCCAAGGTATCAGAGAGTCAGGCCTTTCTCTCTAAGAGTTCATTATCCTCCTCTATCAATTTGCCCACCCTATCACTCAATATATACTATATTTTGACCTAATCTAGTTTCTCTTTCACACCATTTATTATCTCACTTCTGGTATTGACTCCCTACCTAGCCTGAACCCCAGGAGAAGCCCCTGCCAGTACTGTGCCCTCACTAACTCCCTCTTCCATCATGGCTCTTCTGATCTCCAAACCTTATACTCTCCCTTCTTCTTCTCTAAGCCTTGCTAGAAAAATTCATCCAGCCGAGTCCATTACAAACTGATGCTACTAGATAGACAATGTTCCTATGTTTTAGACTCATATATTTTTCCCCTTACTGGACATATCCAATTAGATTTTCTATTGTTGTTGCATGCCACTGAGTTGATTCTGACACATTGTTGTTGTTGTTGTTATGTGCCGTCGAGTTGGACCCGACTCATAGCAACCCCTCCTTGGGTTTCCAAGGCATTATCACTACGGAAGTAGGATTGGCCAACCTTAGGACAGAGTATAACTGCTCTGAGTGTTATAGACTGTAATCTTTATAGGAGTCAAGCAGTTGGTGAGTTCAAACCACCATCCTTTTTGTTAGCAGCCAAGTGCTTAACCATTGCACCACCAGGGCTCCTTAGATTTCCTATAAGTACTTTAAATTCAGTATGCCCAAAATTACACTTACCACTTAATCCTATTTAATTATACTTCTATCCACCAAGAAACCTGAAAGTAATCTTTATAACCTCCTCTTCCTTTCATCTATCACATTAGTTAATCAACATCTGCCCATGTTGTATAATTTTTATTTTTTAATTTCACCCACTGCTTACATCATTATTATTACTTGCAATATTCTGATCATTTCTCTATACACTGATGGAATGAACTATACAAAGCAGCAGTAAACCACACCATGACTTGGCTCCTCTCTTTGCCCATGACTCTGTCTTAAGTCTTCTGGTATTTGCAACTCATTCGCAGGAAACTGATCTGATATCTACTCACCTTCTATCATCACTTTCTGCCACTTAACCTTTTCTGTTTCATACTCCACTGATTAGCAATACCTAATTCAGGTCCTGGAGTACACACACATCCTGAGGAACTGTATCTCTGTATGCTTGTTTATTCTCTTTCACCTGGTGTGTACATCTTTTCTTTTTCCCTACCATATCTTTTCCACAGGTGGTTGTTGTTGGGTGCCATGAAATCCATTCTAATTCATAGAGACCTTGTGTGAGAGAGTAGAACTGCCCCCTAGGGATTTCTAAGCTTTCTCTCACACTCGAACTTTCTCTCGCAGAGCTACTGGTGGGTTTGAATTACTGATCT